CAGGTTGTGGTGGCTGCTTTTTTTGATTAAATTTTGTATTTCAGGTAACTGTAGATTCCTATGCAGTTGCAAGAAATAATACAGAGAGAGTCCATGCACCTTTTACTCAGTGTCCCCCGATGGTAACATCTTGCAAAACTACAGTATGAATATCACAACCAGGAGGTTGACACTGATACAGAGAAGACACAGAATATTGTATCCCCACAAGAATCCCCATGCTGTCGTTTCACAGCCACAAGCATTTCCCTCCTGTCACTAGCCCCCCTCACCACTGTAAACCAATAGTTTGTTCTCTATTTCTATAATTTTATCATTTCAAAAATGTTATATAAATGGGATCATACAATGTGTAACCTTTGGGAATTAACTTTTTTCACCCGGCCTAAATCTCTGGAGATTCATCCAGGTTGTTGAGTGCATCAGTGATTATTTTATGGCTGAGTAGTGTTCTATGGGGTGTTCGTTTCCTACTGGGGCTTCACATGACAGGGATGTGCCAGGACTGTTTAACCAATCACTGGTTGAAGGTGTTTTGCTGTTTGGGGCAGTTACAGGTAAAGCCACTGTGAGCGTCATGTACAGGTCTCTATGAGGACATAAATTTTTATCTCTCTGGAATAAATGCCAGGGTGCAATCGCTAGGTTGTAGGGCAGTTGCATGTTTAGTTTTTTAAGAAGCTGCCAAACCGTTTCCTAGAGTGGCTGCACCATTTTGCATTCCTGCCAGCAGTGTCTGAGAGATCCAGTTTTTCCGCATCCTCCGAGCATTTGGGGTTGTCACTATTTTTATTTTAGCTGTTCTCATAGGTGTGTGGTGGCGTCTCATGTGGTTTTAAGTTGCATTTCCATAATGGCTCATGATGTGGAACATCTTTTCATGTGCTTATTGGCCATCTGTATACCCTCTTTGGTGAAATGTCCATGTCTTTTGCCTATTTTCTAATTGGATTGTTTGTTTTTTTACTGTTGAGTTTGATGAGTCTTTATACATCTCAGGAACTAGTTCTTTGCCAGATGCATGGTTTGCTCATGTTTTCTCCCAGTCTAAGTTTGTCTTTTCATCCTCTTAATATGGTTTTTTGCAAAGCAAAGGTTTTTAATTTTCAAACATCCAATTTATCACTTTTCCTTTTGTATATCATGCTTTTAGCATCAAGTCCAAGAACTCTGCCTTGTCCTGGATCCTCAGGATTTTTTCCCTAAAAGTTTTATAGCTCTACTGATTTTTGTATCAGGAAAATACTAGCTTCGTAAGATGAATTGGAACATGTTTCTCTTTTCTTCTATTTTCTGAACGAAATTATGTAGAATTGGTGTTACTTCTTCATAAAACTCTTGGTTGATTTCTCTAATGAAACCATCTGGGTCTGGAGATTTCTTTTGGGGGAGTTTTTAAATTATGAATTCAGTTTCCTTAATGGCTACATAGGGCTATTCAGATGATCTCTTTCATAGTGGGTGAGCGTGGCTGTTCCTCTTTCTCAAGGGACAGCCGGCTTTCTGAGTCGCTTCATCTGTGTGGAGCTCTCCTTCATCATCCCTTTGAGGTGTGCATAGCTCCAGTTTCTTTCCTCACACTATTCAGTCTTCTCTCTGTTTTCTTTGTCAGTCTTGCTAGAAGTTTATCAATTTTATTGATCTTTTCAAAGAGTCAGCTCTTTATTTCATTGATTTTCTCTAGTTTTTCTGTTTTCAACTTCAATGATTTCTTTCTTATTTCCTTTCTTCTTTTTGTTTGAATTTATTTTGTTCCTCTTTTTCTAGACTCTTAATATGAGAGCTTAGATGATTGATTTGAGACTTTTTCTCTTTTCTAATATATGTATTTTGTGCTGTAAATTTCCCTATAGGCACTGCTTTAGTTATGTCCCACAATTTTTGATATGTTGCATTTTTATTTTCATTTGGGTCAGTGTATTTTTTTTTGTAACCCTTGAGAGTTCCTGTTTGACCCACGGACTGTTTAGGTGGGTGTTGTTTTAGTTTCCAAGTGCTTGGAAATTTTCCTGTTGTCTTTCTGTTAATAATTTCTAGTTTGATTCAGTTGTGATCAGAAGATACACTATATGATTTTGATTCTTCTAAATTTGTTGAGGTTTGTTTTGTGGCCCAGGATATGGTCTGTATTGGCATACGTTCTGTGGTGCCTGAGAGCCATGTGTTCTGCTGTTCATGGCTGGAGTGGGCCACACTTGTTGATGGGTCCTATGGCTGGTGGTGTGAGTTCTGTCTCCCTGCCCCACCCTCTGCCTGGCCTCGGGCGCATGCTCGTGAGTCTCCCATCCCTCATGAAAGGAGGCACAGCCCCCACTTCCTCGTCCTATTACCTCCCACAGTCTGCACCTCTCCCAGCTCACTGCCTCCTCCCAATTTCTTTCACAAAGGAGAAGAGCAGGCCCTGAGTACTGGGTCACTGAGTCATGTGATTAGTTGGTTACTGTCACTGGCAGCCTACCGGAATTCCTAATGGATAGTGTGGGGAAAGAGTTGGGGTGGGAATTAGGACCAGTGGTTCCCAAATGTGGCTTTGCTCAAGAGAAATCTGGAGAACCTTAAAATGTAGCTTCCAGTGCCACCCGGGTCTGCTGGATCAGGCTCTGAGCAGCAGCACGTGCCGTCCAGGTGACTCCAATGCTGAGGACTCCCTACTCTGTCACCACAGGACAGCCAGGCGAGCACTGGGACACCAGGTGAGCACTGGGACAAAGTAGGGCAGGGCCTCCTTTGCCAGACTTGAATCTTGCAGCTGTACCTCCCCACCCTCCTGGGACAGGACCACCTGGGGGCAGCTCTGGGAGGCTGGGAGGCTGGGAGGCAGGGCTAACAATCTTCTCAGAGCTTCCCCCAGGAGCACTCACAGTCCCCAAGTGCTGCTGCTGGAGGACTCTCCCCAGCCGTGACTAACTCCTGGAGGGCTCCACGCCTTGAGGGGTCTCCCACGTGAGCCCTGCTGGGGGGTGGCAGGCCGCTGAGCCCTCCTGTTTGTTCCTCTGGTTCCTGTATGCCGTTCACTGTTTGCATAATGATTCTTTGACAGCCTCGCCCCTCCCTCAGGAAGGAAGGGGTCCTGTTTATCTGTCTTGGTAAGACAGCACAGTGCTTGGAGCTTAGTAGTTGCCAAGGAAATATTTGTTGAATTAACAAAGTTATTAATTACCAATTACCTACGAGGCGAATTGCAGTCTGCTTCTTGCATTTATGTGTTCCTGGAGGAAGGAGCTGAGGCAGGAGCACCTCACTGGCTCTGGCCCTGGTCTCTGACCCCCGTGCCACATGGGGCAGGTGGTGTGGCTCCACAGCCCCGTCTCCCAGGAGGGACCATGAGCAGGCATTCTCTGGCATCCTCCCTGATGCAAGGGCCTGCTCAGCAGCAGAACTTTCCTGTGGAGAGTCTGGGTATTCAGCGTCACGTGTGACTTCACCCTCCGGCTGCCCACTGAAGCCCACTGCAGCAGTTCACACAGAACTGCCCATTGAGGCTGACTTCTTAAAGCCATCATTAGTTTTAAGTGAATTTTAAATGAATGTATTTTACACATGTAGACAGAATCTATAGGTGATGATTCTGAAGTTTGCACCTCAGATAGTCCGTACATGCTTGCTTCCTGGGTCGGCTTCGTCTGTGGAGACGAAGAGCGATGGCGGGTGAGGGGCAGATGCAGCCAGGAAGGCGCATACGGCCTGCAAGGAGCCACCCTGTCAGATGCAAGCCCCCTAGAGCTGCCAGCACTGACCCCAACGCCCTCTGTCTGTTTCTTTTGACTAGAGAAGAATCATCAAGTCACGTAAAGCCTGGGGTATCTTTAGACATTGTAAGGACTTTCCTTGTGGTCCACCTCCCTCCTGATGCCTCACTTGCAAAGACGTGGCCCAGATCTGAATGTGGGAATCTGAGCATCTGGTGCTTGGCAGGCCTTGCTCAGAGGGGCTCCCCCAGCTTCAGACTGGCTTTCAGAAGAGCTAAGGAGCAGAAAATCAGGTCATTATTGTACACAGACTCAGCATTCTCAACAGGCAGTGTGGCAAATGTGGGGACTCCGTCTGCTCAACCCAGTGTCACATCAACCCCTTCCCCCTTAATTTCCCAGTGCCCCACAGCCATCTTTTCCCTCCCTCCTTCCAAACCCTACTCTTGAGAAAGGATTTGCAGTGGTGCTGACAGACCTCACTCTCTTTTGCTCGCTTGGTAATTTTGAACAATCTATATCTTAGTTCCCCACCACAGTGCCTGTGGCAGGACTTTGAAATAGCTACAAATACGTGTGGCTGTAAGTGTTCCTCAGCTTTGGGTGTACATCTGTCTGTGGTGTCCTCGAGGGAAGAACATTTAACTTCATGGAGATTTCATCTAGACGCAGGGGATTACAGTGTCACAAAACCTGCCTCTATCCCTCCAGATTCTCTCCAACCTGGCGTTAGAGGGCAAATGCCTTTGAAAACCAGGAGGAGTTCTTACGAGTCAGTGTAGCACATAGAAGCTATTTCTGCCCTGCCAGGGAGTTGAGACCTGCTCCAACCAGTGGATCCTTTGCTTAGCAGAGGCTCAACATAGAGCAGTGGGGTGCCATGCCGAGTCTGGGCCACATGACCTGGCACCTCTGACCTCAGTGCATGGCCCACAGAAGGTCAGCCAGAATCCTTCCTGAGGACATTACAGACAGGAATTGAGTGTGGCCCTGCCCAGGGGTGGGAGACACAGGCTGTGGGTCTCAGGAGCTGCTGCAGTGGCCACATCCCCAGGCTTTCTCCACAGGAGAGAACGGACAACTGGAGACCTGGGGAGAGAACACACTGGGGGCTCCCATCCCCAGTTCTTGTTCCTGCAGCCCAGCTACACCCTACACCTTCCCTTACTTTGAGTTTCAAGTTTTCCCTCAGCAATAGGAGGTGACATATATCTGTTCAACAGAGTACTGAACAAAGTACTTTGAAATGGATTTCTGTCTCCCATGTACTTAGAAACCAAGTCATTTTCAGGTTTAACTATTTCATTACAGATCAAACTGAATTGAGTAGGGCCCTGTTTCTGCCATTGCACCCCAGCGTGTGCCAGCCCACAGGACTGTAAAGAGGGCAACAGGACTTGAAGAAGTGACTTGGCCTTCAGGTTTGTGTGAGGCAGTGCTTTGGTCTCCTTCATTCTTGGCTTGTAAGAGCACCAGCCATGCGGGCCCTGGGAGAACAGGTCTGACCAAGGACTGTGGAGTGCTTGCTCTGTGATCCACAGAGAAGGAGCTGTTGTCAAAGGCACCAGTGGCCTGTGCTCTCCCAGCTCAGTGTTCCCTTCCTTGACCTAGACTCAGAAACAACAACCATTATACAACTGGGGTACACAGACATTAAAATTATTATTATAACTGAAAATCACATGTTCAAGAAGCAAGAGGAAAGACTGAGCACATGGAAGATACAAAAAAAGACCCTGCTCAAATTTCTAGAGATGAAAACAACAATGTCTGACATGAAGAATCTACTGGATGAGATTAACCACAGATTGGGCATTGCAGAATAACAGTAAACTTAAGGACAGAAATAGAGCCTATCAAAATGAAACACGGAGACAAAAGGCAGAAAAAAATGAGCAGAGCATCAGCAAGCTGTGGCACAACTTCGAGCAGTCAAGAGATGTGTGTTTGGAGGCCTGAAAGTGGGGGAGTAGCAGGGACAGGAAATAAATTTGAAAAAGCAATGACTGCAATTGTCCAAATTTTATGAAAGCTCTCTGGCCACAGATCCAAGAAGCTCAGTGAAGCCCCAAGCACAAAAAACATGCATGTAGCTACAAGGCACATCATAGTTAAACTGCTCAAAACTACTGATTAAGAGAAAAATCTTTAAGAATCCTAGGGAAGAAGACATATTGCAGATAGAGGAACAAAGATGAGAATGCAGCAGACTTGTCTTTGGAGACAGTGCTCATGAGGGAGGAGGAGCAGCATCTCCCCAGAACTGAAAGAAAACACTGTCAGCCTGGAACTCTATGCCAGGCGGAATAGCCTTAAAGACTGAAGGTGAAATAAAGACTGATGCACAAAAGCTGAGAGAATTCATCACCAGCAGACCTGCTCTACAAAAATATCATGGGAATTTATTCAGGTAGAAGAAAAGTGATGCAGGTGGAAATCTGAATCTACACAAAGGAATGAAGAGCTACATGAGTAAGTATGAAAGACATTTTTTATTATTATCTAAATCCCTTTAAAAACAACTAACTTTAAATTAAAAATAATAATGTACCTAGGGTTTATATCATAGGTAGAACTAAAACGTATACAGTGGTAGTGCAGAGGCTGAGAGGAGGACGGGAGGCACACTGCTGTTGGTCCTCACGCTCGATGAGAAGAGGCTTGAGATGACTCCACAACGTGCTGGAGTGAGTTACCGGTGTGCACCTAAACCCTGACGCCGCCACCCCAACACCAGAGTCATGACCAATAAGTGAACAAAGGAGATAAAGTGGAGTCATACTATGTATGCAGTTAACCCAAAAGATGGCAGAGAAAAAACAATAGTAATGGGGGAACACAGAACAGATGCTAAAGATAGGAAAAAAACAGTAGGTGATAGACTTAAACTCAGCTCTGTCAACAATCACTGTAAATGGTCTAAACACCCCCAATTAAAAGGCAGAGATTGTCAAGTAAATAAAAAAGCAAGTTCCAACTGTATGCTGCCTTTAAGAAACTGACTTTAAATATAAGGACACAAATAAGTTAAAAATAAAAGGTGGAAGAAGATAAACCATGCTAACACTAATCAAAAGAAAGCTGGGGTAGCTATATGAATAACGGACAAAGTAAATTTCACAGCAGAATATTACCAGAGGTAAAGAATGATCTTTCATAATGATAAAGGGGTTGGTTCATCAACAGCACGTAACAGTGCTAAATGTTATGATACTAATAATGGAGCTTAAAGATACACGAAGCAAAAAATGATAGAACTGTAGGTAAAACAGACAGATCCACAATTATAGTCAGAGATTTCAACATCCCTCTCTCAATATTTGATAGAATAAACAGACAGAAAAGTGTAAGACTATAGGAGACTTGAAAGTATTACTAACCAACTTGCTCTAATTGATATTTGTAGAACATTCCACCCAAAAGCACAAGAATGCACATTTACCAAGATTCTCATCCATAAACAAGTCCTAATAAATTTAAAATATCTAAAGTATACCAAATACGTTCTCTAATCATAATAATAGAATGAAATTAGAGATCAACAAAAGAAAGATATCTAGAAAATCTCCAAATATTTGAAAGCTCAGTAACACACTTCAAAATATCTCATGAATTAAGAAATCAAAAGGGAAATTTCAAAGTATTTTGAAATGAGTGGAAAAAAAGCATAAATATCAAAATTTGTGGGATGCAGCTAAAACCATGTGTAGAGAGAAATTTATAGACTTAAACATCTGTATTGGGTAAGAAGTAAGGTTTTAAATCCGCGCCATCAGCTTCTGCCTTAAGAAACTAGAAAAAGATGAAAAAATTAAACCCTGCATCCAGGTGCTGGAATTTGCTAATGAATGGGATAGGGGCAGAGAAGGGAGTCATTGTGCTCTGAGATTTGGGCTTGAGCAGTTGTATGGCAGAAGTGCTGAGACAGACAGACTGATGACTGGGAAGACTGGGGTGGATTGCATATGTTGAATGTGAGAAATCGAGGTGGCTGTGGGAGTCTGGTGCAGGGCATATTCTGACTGAGGCACATCTGTGGATGGTGTCAGCACAAAGTAGCATTGAAACCACACACTGGATGGGCTTCACCTGGTGAATGCAGATGGGTGAGAAGGGGAGGGCCCCTCCCGGGCTCTAGGGAGATGTGCCTGTTTCCCCTGTCCTTCCCATTAAGTGAATTAAAATATGTTAACTCCCCAGCACTAAAGAGAATAGAAGAAGGGGTCCTTGCTGGCAAGAGAGATCTGCCAGTCTCTGGAACACCAAGTGTGGGGGAAGAGTGAGTCACAGAAAGGTTTTCTCTGATGAATTGGCCATCTGACCTGGTTTGGGGTGACTATGACAGGAGTCCGGCTGCTGCTTCCTGCTGAATACCACGAGTGCGCCTGTGCATTCCCTCATAGCCCACAAAGCTGCCCCCAGTGGACACTGCTGCAGGGCAGCCCCTGAGACAAGAGCAAGGCCTGGCACTCAGGTGTTACGTCTGACAAGCAGGTGTCCCAGGGCCTGGCAGGGACAGCCAGAGGATGGCCTCGTGCCTGCTGCAGGCCCATGATCCTGGGGGAGATGCCTGTCTGCTGTTGGCACAGGGTGGATTCTTCAGGGTCAAGGCTACTAACTCACAGGTGACCTTGACGGGGACTGCTCCTTGTTCTCACCCGTCTACCAAGGGCACTGTGATGCTCGCTCTTGGCTGCATGATGAAGGAAGAAAGGCACTGGCCTGTGCAGCAGCTCACTGGTCTGTATGACTGATGGCAGTCGACAGCCTGGAGCCTGAAGCACCCCTGGCACTCGCTGACCCACTTTCTCCACTGTGGACTGGAAACATTTACATAACAGATGGCCGCAGGGCCCTGCTGTCTCCCTGACACAGGAGATGTTCCTAATTAAAAAGGAGGCGCAGCGCCCCTGCCTGGCTACCACAAGATCCCATTCATTGGTGCTGATAACTTGGCCTTAGCATATACTCGAATCTTTAAAAAGGGCTTTGTGGGGTTTGATGTGGGTGTCAGTGTAGGAAGGAGCATTTGAGCTAGATCGACTCCTCTTCTTTCTGGGCTCTTTCTTCCTGAGTGCCCTACTTAGAAACAAAGTTCTGATATGTTCACGCACATGGCACTGTCCAGCAGAACTCTCTGTGGTGGTAGAAATGCAGCCACCAGCCACATGAGACTGTTTATTCAACACTTAAAATGTGGCCAGTGAATGTTTTATTTTAAATATAAATGGCCATAAGTGGTTAGTGACTACTGCATTGGACAATGAAGTCAGAGAACATTAATATTTAAGGATGATTTTTAAAAATTCTCTTTGCTATGAATTATACCCTCACATTAAATCTTTGTTATTCAAAAGTATCATTTTATCACAAATAATTAGAACTAATAGTTTGGATTCATTAAAGTACCTGTAAATACGTTTTTAAAAATGCGTGTGTGGAACAACACGTTGTTTCCTATTGCGGAAGTGTACCAGGAGCCGTCTTTTTTGTACGTGCCCATCAGCCTCCAGTGGTTGCCCTTCACAGGCGTCTCCTCGCACACATCACAGAGGTACTTGGAATGTGTTTTGTTTCTATACTTTATTTTTGTGTTTTCCTTTTAGCATATTTTTCAGCAGAAATATTTTGATGAGGAAAAAAAAATTTTTTGGCCCAAAGATACCTATAAGGTTAAAGGAAAATCTTGCTTTTTTAAGCTATGGTCTCTCCTGTGTGTAGACAGAGCCTCTCATCTTTAAAGCTTAAATCAAAGGGCCAGTGTCCAGACACCTTGTTGCGGGGTGGTGCATATGCAGGCTTCACAGGACTTGTGTTCCTGAAGGGTTTAGGCAGCCAGCAGGCAGTGCAATATTTTCATTAGTGAAGGACTAAGTCAGGGGTTGTGTATGAGGAAATTATTAGAACAATTTCTGAGGAAGGAAGGGGGCAGAAGTCGAACAGGATTTGGAAGTGAGGAAGGGGAAAGAGTTGGGAGAATCTACTATTAAGGACCGTGACTCTTAGTCACGAGCCGGCGTTTGGTTCCGCTCATGGCCCCAGCAGCTCTGCCCACTCAGGTGTACACCTGGGCAGGTGCCTGTGCTCCTGGAGGCCTGTGGTGCTCTCAGTCCTGCAGGGTTGGCCCGGGGCCCTTCCTGGCCCTCTCTTGGGACCCCTGGGCCCCAGACCCATACCAGGTTATCCGGAATCTTCCCCAGCCAGGACTTCCCTTTCTGTCCACCAGGCGGCACCATGCTGTCAGAACCCTGTGGCTACCACTCCGCGGCTCTCCAAGGCTGACAGGTCCCCTGCTCCCATGGGGGCTGCTCATGCCTGTGTCCCATCCTGCCCTTGTTTCCCCCTCCTCTCTGTCGCCCCACAGGACTCCCACACACCCAGGCAGATGGCTCTCCAGCCCCCACTGGTGCACCGCACTGACACGAGTGTGAGTCGGCCTGCTTTTACTCCAGGAAAGACCACCCAAACACTCCACTTCCTTATGACCCCTGTTACCCTCAGTTACACCTCCCAGGCCTGGGTCAGGGTCTGGTGCCCCCCTGGCCATGCCCCTACTACCTGGGATCTGCACACGCCTGTGGTTCCCTTGGATCTCCTGGTCTATTCTGAGACTTCCCTCCTGACCCTACTCCCCAGCCTCACCTGGCATTCACATTTAATCCTCGCTGGTGCCTGTCTTATGCGACCACTCCATACACTGGCTGGTGGTGACCTACCTGTCCCTCAAGATTCAGCCTTTGCAAAGGAGGACCTGGATGCTCCCTGAGAAGGGGCTGCAGCCCCAGGGGGACCCTGTGTAGACCTTGGCAGGGGTTCTGTCTTCTGCCCATTCCAGGCCAAGTCACATGTACCCGCGTCACCAGTGCTCACGGCAGCCTTGTGCTCTTCCCATGAGCACTTCAGGTTGACTGCCTATAATTACTCCTTGCCTGTAAATCATAAAACAGAGCCTTAACTCTTTCTGGTGGGCTAAGCACTGGGCCAAATGTCGCAGAAATTATACAGTAAACATACACCAGTGATGGGGTATGGAAAGCATTTTCTGAAACCTTTATAAAGAAGAATGTTCAGCTATTTGGCAGTTCAGTTAATAGAAACTAAATCCACTTAATGAGGATTAGCAAGGAATCTTAAATCTAGATGAAAGGGGAACACCAATACCTGCAGTTTCCTGGCTTTTTAAGGGAGAAGGGAATCCCAGCCAGAGGGAGGATCGTGGCAGGAGTGTGATGGGAAATGGGCAAAACTAATGTAATAGTGGAGCAGACACTCACTGGACACAAACCAAAGACCCCAGAGCTTACCGGGGAACCCCTTCCCCTCTCCAGCTACTGAGAGAGCTGTTCTTGTTTCCTGCATTGCAGAGGCAGAAACTGAGGCCAGAGGGCTTGATGACCTGGCCAGGGTCACTAGGTTAGTGAGCACTGGAGCCCCAAGGCCTGTCCCCCCACTCTGTGTTCCTCCTGCCCCAGCAGGTCACATAGGTCACACCCCTGGGAATCCCAGGCGCTTGTTCCTCTTGCTGACTGAGATGCCCGGGGAACCTGTTGCCTCCTGGAGCCTCCGCCTCACCAGCAGTAGCGGTGGAGGCAGCACGCTTCTGCTCCCCATCCTCCCCAGGCGAAAGTCACTGCAGAACAGGACATCCTCCACATGGGCGTTGGCTGTTGAGATTGTTCTCGGTTAGCAGCTGCTGTGCCTTCTCTTTCCAGGTGACACCATCTGGGCCCCATCTGTCCTTCCTCACGGCACCCTCAGCACCTTAAGCCACCACCTCCAGCCACATTTTGGGAGAAAGATGGAGTCCAAGGTCTCAGAAGGTGGCCTGAACGTGACCCTGACAATTCGCCTGCTGATGCATGGAAAGGTACAGAAGTGCAAGGCTGCTGCCCTGTCACTCTCCTCGGAAGGAAGCACCAGAGCAGCTGGGAGGAGAGGGAGGGCATGCCCAGGCCGGGCCTTTGTTTTATATTATGCTGTTTAAAGTTGCAAGCAATCTCAAACTGATAAAGCAGCCGCATTACAGTCCAAATTAGGCTTCTCCCGGAACCGTTCCAGACTAAGTTGCCACTTGATGCCTATCAGCGAATACCTTAGTGTGTATTTTCTGCACACGAGGGCATTCTCCTCCATACCCTCAGTATACCCGTCAGAATCAGGATGACAACACTGATAAGTTCTGGCCACTTTTCCTTGGACCCTACACAAGCCCACCAGCCATCCCAATGCTGCCCTTCAATGACAGGATGCTCCCCAGTCCTCCTGCCTTTCCCTTTGGAAAGTTTCCAGTCAGTTCTTTCACAGCATGTCCCTCACTTTGGCTTTTTCTGATGTTTCCTCGTCGCTGGCAGGAATGTCACAGAAGTTTTCCTCTCTGGTGGCCCAGATCTCAGGGTGTCCCATTACTTATCACTTGGTTAGGGGGTACCTGCCAGGCTTCTCCACCTAGCGCTGCTCTGCTTCCACTGTTAAGAGAAAGGCGTTGCTGGGGGGGGGGTACTTAGACACCATGTAGATGTCCCGTTTGTCATCCCCTCATTCATGCTCGTCTTCATGGACTCAGGGTTTGCTATTCTGTTCATATTATTCACCATTACTTTGATGTTCATATTGTTCCTGACCTGGCCAATGGGAGCCCCTCCAAGCTAGCTCCTGTGTCCTTTTGATGTGATCTGTCCTTCTTATAGTACTCACTTTCTGGCACAAAATGCCACTCATGGTTCATCTTGTACTTTTCCCTGCGGTGGTCCTGGAACTAGCCACTCCTCCAAAGAACCCTGATTCCTCTGAGAGGAGGCTGGTGTTGGAAGCCCAGATCAGGGCACATGAGGTGCTCACCTCTCTTGGGTTATTACGGGTCCCAGCCAGAGCTGGGGAATATATGTATCAATGTGTTTATATATATACGTGTGTGTATGTGTATATAATCACGCATGTACATGTATACCCACATTCGCATAATATTTATTTCCGTGTTTATCTCTATATATTGGTTCCCGTGAGTTCACACTCTCAATTCCAGTCCAACAGCACAGGGTTTGTTCTAGCTCCTCTGTCTGTCCCATGTTTGTGCCATGAGAAACCCAACTCCCAGTATCTGCGTGCTCTCTGGTGGCAGAGGCTCTGGCCTAGTACCTGAGGTGCTGTTCATCCTAGATTTCCAGAAGATATGCCCTTATCCTCGGGGCAGGGGGTGGGGGCTCACACCCAGAGCATCCCTTTCTGTGATGGTGAGATGATGACCAGCCTTTCATTCTTCTAACTGGGCGGCATGTGGTCAAGGTTGTCGGAAGCTGAGGGCGTCTTGTGAGGTCAGTTCTACAGCCCCCACCTCCAGCAGCCGCCACAACAAGCACCAAACGCTGCCTGTGGGAGGTGAGGTGCCCTGACCCCAGAGGGGTCATTACCTCATGCCCAGCTGCTCTTTGCTGCCCCATTCCCTGCCGCACACGCCCTCTCCATGGCCTAGCAGAATTTAGGGGCTTCACCAGGAGCACTGTAGCTGCTGAGGACTTTGTTGTAATTAGGAAAATGGGTTTGATTTTGAAAGATGTTGTCTGTGGCTGGAAGCAAGGAGCTCTGTCTCCATGAGATGCCTTGGCAGCACCGTGGGGGTCTGCCCCAGGCAGGGAGGCACTGTGATGAGCAGGCCTGGCCGGGATGTCCGAACCATCATGGGCTTCAGGCTTTAGAACCATGGCAGGATGTTCAAGTGTGTCTTTGAATGTTCTACCTTTTTCAAAAAGTCAAACAGCGATAGCAGTGCTAAATTTTCTTAACATCACAAAATCAAGCGAGATTTTATTTGTCATCTGTTTCTTGCAGGGTTTTCTTGAGGCCTTAAGTGCATAGTCATGCCTCCCAACTTATTTATCTGGAAAGCAGCTGGCCATTCTCCATCTGCTTGTCTGTCAGTCAGAGGCAGGGCCTGGGCCTGGCCATGGTCAGATGGGCACAGAGGAGCCCTCCAACTCAGGGCCCCTGCACAAGTGGCCTGCCTGCACACTTCCTCCTGAGTGTCCAAATCTTCCTCATTCATAACGTGGATGAGTTATGCAGTGTCTGTCATAGGTTTTTTTCTCTTTCTGCTCTATGACGTCATCTTTCTGTGATTTTTTTCCTACAGGAAGTTGGAAGCATCATCGGGAAGGTAATTACTGAGTGAACTCCCTGCCTCTATCGGGGTCTCTGTAAGGGGACGAGGACCACAGCACACCTGTGCTGGGCGGTATGTGTATGCAGTGAGGATTCCAGGGGAATCCTGCCATCTCCTTGCCTCCAAGCTGCACCACCTTCAGGCTGGTCCGAAAGCATCGTCTTCACCGGCTCCTTGGGAGCCCGGGAGGCATTCCCCCACAGCCCCTCCCTGGCAAGGCACCGGCTGGTCACCCCAGCTGCCCCACCCCCACTGCCCTAGTGGCCAGTCCCTCTTCCTGGGTTTGAAAGCCCAGGAAGAATTCTTTCACTTGCATTCTTCAGAGCCGCCTTCCGCCTCCAGCCAGTGAGTGGCAGTGAGTCTCTTTATATTTACTTTCTAAATAAAAGAAATGTTCCCATGGGGAAAAGTAAGCTCCAGTTTGAACTCTGTGCCTGTGGGAGAGAGGGCAGGGCTGAGGGCTGCTCTCCCTGTCTAGTCATGCTTTGACCATCTTTGGGTTCCCTGGTGTCCTGAATGGTCCCTGTACAGTAGGGGCACCGTCAGTGCTCAAAGTCCAGCTCTTTCTCACAAGTGCCTTGGGAGGCAGCTTTGGGGAGTTGCTGCCCATGGGCCTTGTCCCTGCTTTGCCCGTGATGAAGGTAGGGGTTTGCTGTGAACTTGTGTGCAGACCTGTCCCCATACTGTGGAGCAGGTACCCTGGCAACGTGTGATGCCAAGTCAGGTCCCCGGGTCCAAGCCCACCCACCCTTATAGCCATGTGCCCCTGGGCCAGTGCCTTGGTGTCCTCCTCTCTGAGGCCCACTCACAAAGCTGTGGTGAGCACTGAAGCAGTCACGGCGTGTGTCCAGCTCTTGACAGCACCTGGGACGGAGTCTGGCCTTCTGAGGGGCTGCTGCTCATGTGCCCCTGGGGCACGCTGGGGTGCACGAGGCAGGCGGCTCCCAACACCACCTGCTGCCCTGCCAAATCCTCTATGTGCCTTTAGTGGAAACCCTGAGTGACCCCTTTCCCTTGTTGTCTAAATCTTTGTTCCAGAAAGGAGAAACTGTGAAAAAGATGCGTGAAGAGGTGAGTTGGCTTGCCCTCAACAGCATCCTGTTTCTGGGCGGGTGGGAGATGTGAGGCCAGGAGGGCCTTCAGTGGCTCTATGTCCAGACCTCTGTGTGTCCTCAGACCACCTGGGAACCTGCCGTGCACGCAGGGATGTCGGGGAGCACCGCCCACTGCAGTCACCTCACTGAAGGGGGGCACACAACAGGGGGAAGCCCTTCCCTCTGACACGTACACCCCAGCAGTTCAGGTGCTTCTATTTCCTGGGTGAGCAGCTGTGGTGTGTGGCACCTCTTTACTGATCACTTGGATCCTTTCTGCTGATTAAAATTTCACTTTAAAGGACAGTGCTGGAAAAGATTTTACTATTTGGTGCTGAAGTTTGCCCTTCAGGCACCAGCCAGATACACTGGCATCAGTTGTCAGTAGGCCTGGAGAACATGGCTCATTACTGGCCCCGCTGCTTTAATCTAGTTTCTGGGTTTGCTCAACTCCCTTACAGAGTGGTGCAAGGATCAACATCTCAGAGGGAAACTGCCCAGAAAGAATTGTGACCATCACAGGCCCAACGGATGCCATCTTCAAGGCCTTTGCCATGATCGCCTACAAGTTTGAGGAGGTGAGATGCACCCACTCAAGACCCCTGTGGGCAGACAGAGGGCAAGCCTGGTCCCAGCTGGTCCTCCTACCCCTCCCTCTCTCTCCCCTGCTTCTAGACCAGGGCACAGCTCTGCCCTCCCGGATGCCCTGACCGGCCACCAAGACCTGTTCTGGCTCCTCTTACCTCCTTTGCCTCCCAGGGACTCTACCTGCTCCAGTCCATCTGGTGACAGACCCACATCCCTCCTCCTCCTAAGGCCAACATTGCGCATGCCCATGTCACTCAGTTTCCTCAGCCCTACTGCCAGAGCAGAGCCCTCAGGAAGCCCTGGCAGGAGTGCCTGCCTTGGCCCCTCCACAGCAGCTCACCCGCTGCTTGTGTAGCTCAGCTTAGATATGGATGGATAAAGAGGTGCAAATTCTCATGCTGGCACGTACAAATACATACACATTTATGTGTCTGTGGCACTTTTGTGTATTTCTGTTAGTGAGTCAAATCTTAAGGTTTTTATGTATTTCTGGTTTTTTTGAAATTGCCAAAGTTATTTAGAGATGTATTTACTGTTTTTATTCAGAGGACGATCAAGCTGGGGAGTAAATTTTTCTATCAAAAATCTGTCACCGTGTCTGTTCAAACCCCTCCATACCCCACCAGGCCTCAAGGACAAAGGTTAGACTCTGAGCCAGTGCCCTCTGGATCTGCACCCTGCCCTGTCCCAGGGCAGCACCGTGGCCACTTGGCCATGCATGTCTGTGCATGGTCGGTGTGTGCAGGGCCCCCTCTGCCCATGCAACTGCCATCTCCTTATCCTCCTGAGCCTGGCTTGGCCTTCAAGCCTCTGCGACCAGCCAAGCCTGTCCACTGTGTCCTTCCTTTGTGCACTCAGCCATTTACCGCTGTGCATGTGCCTCCATCAAGGAGCATGTGCATTTCCACACTTATCTTCCTCCCCCAATGACCGTGAGCCTCTCAGGGCAGGGACTTCACCATTGGTCCTGAAGCCTGTGCCCGCCACCACTTGGCCTCACAAAGGGGCTCTTCAAGCACATTCCAAATGCCTTTCCACAGAGCCTCACATTTGCACTCACTGATGTTTAAATAGCATCATGTGTTGGCCAACATGTGTGCTTTTCTCCTTCCCCAGGACATCATTAACTCCATGAGCAACAGCCCTGCCACCAGCAAGCCCCCAGTGACGCTGAGGTTGGTGGTCCCCGCTAGCCAGTGCGGGTCCCTGATTGGCAAAGGCGGCTCCAAGATCAAGGAGATCAGGGAGGTAACAGAACCTTCCCCAGACTGATGGGTGCCGAGCCACTGGGTGGATAAGGACCGTCCTCATGGGAGGCATGGCCATCCTCAGCAGAGTGTCAGCCCCTGTCACTGCAGACCCTGCCAGCACAGAGCTTGTAAGAGAAGAACAATCCAAAAAGCAAAGAGTGGAACATGGGAAACCCTGCAGCATGTGTGGACCCCCTCACAGGCCTCACGCAGAGATGCCGGGCACTGCAAGAGGGAGGGACGTGTGCCTGACCTGGGACTGTTGGGGGCCTTGTGGACAGTGCAGGTTGTAGCATCCCACCACCCAGTCACGTGGCTCGAGGGCACAGAGGCCCTGCACAGTGGGGCTATGGTCTCTGCCTCAGTGAGGGGCCTCCTCCAACTGTCAGACCCAGTTTCCTGGAAAAACAGTGAGCCCTCCCAGCTTGGATGGAGTTTGCATGAGGTTCGGACTTCATGTCTACATGTTCATCTATTCCAAGGAAAGCCTGAATCTTTCTCTCCCCCAGAAGGAGGGTGGCTGCCCAGTCTTGATTCCTTCAAGGAAAGAGGGCCACAAAGTTTAGGCCCATCTAGAACCCATCTTTCTCTGTGACCTAAAACTCTACAAAGGAGATAGAATTCCGCATAATTGAAAAAAGTAACTATTTCAGCCTCTGTCTCTTGCAAATGCCCCTCTGCAGGTTAAAATGCCTCCTGTCCAACATCATTCGCCCTGCGCCAGGTTTGTGCTGGGCAGTGGTGTCCTGAGGCGGACAAGACCTGCCCACAGTGGCTCCCAAGGGAATGTGCAGAGGGCTGGGGTGCCCAGGCGGGCATGGAGGGGGTGACATTGGAGCAACATTGGGGTGGGTTTCCCAAGGTGCACTGTGCCCTCGATGCACACCCTCTCAAAAATCCAGAAAGTGCTACTCCAGTACACATTGCTGCCCCTCCTTCCATCATGCCCCTTCCAACATCTAGTTTCTCCAGTCCACAGGTGCCCAGGTCCAGGTGGCTGGGGACATGCTGCCCAACTCCACAGAGCGAGCAGTGACCATCTCGGGGACCCCCGACGCCATCATCCAGTGTGTCAAGCAGATCTGTGTGGTCATGCTGGAGGTACAGTCTGTCTGTGCATCCAGGGGTCATCGCCAGCCTGCCCCTCTCTCCACGCTGGCTGTGGCTTCTTAGTGTCGGTGACAGCAAAGGCTTTGGCACCTCTGGGATGCTGAGGATTCACATGGTCAGAGCCATATTAGGGCTGGGTATCAGGAGTGTGATGCAGGTCCCTGACCCAGGCCCAAGGCAACCTGAGTGAAGCTGTGCTGGGTGTGTGGGTGCTGTGGGAAGGGCAGCTGCTGGTACCTGCCACCTCTGGTGGGTCCTTCATCTTCACTGGGGAGTCGGGGAGAGAACACGTGGGGAGACACGCATCCCTCCCCTCATTTCTGGCGTTGGATGGAGAGTTATAGTCCATGGAGTGAGAGGCATTCCACAAAGGGTCGGGTCTTAAAAATGGTGCAAGTCTGCACTGGAGATATCCATGGGGAGGTGGAAAGGCTCACACTTTGGTGGGAGGGACTCCTCAGCACTGGGCCAGCTGGGGAAGGTGAGGCAGGAGGCCCATGCCTGCCAGGCCTGCAGACATCAGAGCCCCACAGAGGTTCAAAGGACACAACTTAGGAAAAGCACACGCGTATGCCCAAATTATACAGACAAGAGAAGTAAACAAAAGGATTAAAAGCAAAGGAGAAACAAAGCCCAGCTGAGCAGGAAAAAGCCTTTCTTGAAATTTTGGGGGAAAATACCTGAGATTTAAATTTCAACCAATACCCAAAATGCAGCAAGATTCATCGAAGCTGTCAAGAGCTGCTGAAATGAAGTACTCCCGCCTCAAATGTTCCAGCAGCCTGCTGGTCGCCCCACAGCCTGGCCCCTCCTCTGCCCTGAGCTGCTGTCCCTGCGAGGGAAGCTCTGCTCCAGGCGACCACGGCAGCATCCCCACAGGAACTAAAGCTTCGGCAGGCAGTGTGGGTTCCTGCCTCTTTTGTACTTGGCTTAGTGTGAAAACCTATGTCCAGCTCTTTAGAAAGACATGTATAGTTTTTATTTTTCTGAAATATAATATTTTGTGAGGTCAAAAAGTATTTTTCTAAATACTAAAGTTTTTCCCAACCACTGATCCTGGTGACAACTGGTGCTGGCTGTTGTTCCCTTCAGTCTCCAGCCACTGGGACCCCAGAAGGGCCACATGGGCATATGGTGAGTGGGGCCCAGCCCTCGCTAGTGCTGGGGACACCCGAGGAGATAAGAAGCTCATGCCTGTCTGTTAGGCAGTGAGGGCACCTCAGAATGATGGGCGATGGAACAGTTCCAAGGGGGTCACAGCCTCCTCCGCCCCTGCTTGAAGGTCAGAGCAAATGCATGGTCTCCTCAGGACTCCGCACACTGTGGTGTTGCCTGCACAACGTTCAAGGACAGACACGGCTCCCACGAATCAGGCTTGACCTGCATTGGCCATGGGGTGCTGGTGCCCCCAGGGCCGTGGTTGGGACGACCCTGTCTCCTTCCCAAGGCCAGGGGACTTCTGTGAGCTGATGAACATTGAAGCACACGTGCAAATAGATGAACACTGGGCTGAGGTGACACCTCGTTCCTAGTGGCGTTATGAAGCTCCCAGAGTTGGGGCGTGGCTCTCTCACCAGGAGCAAGATTCATGGCACCTGGGAACAGTTGGGCCCATTTTCAGTGAAGAGTGACTGGAAAAATGAAGCAGAAGTTCAGAGGACATTCAGATGTGGCTGTGGGGTGGGTCTGACACCCTTGAAATACACCAGGAGGGCTGGCCTAGGTGCTGGTGAGTTGAGTGGAGAACACAGGTGTCACGGCCATGGTCTGCCTCATGACACCTGCTGCCCCCCAGGGGAATGTGGGGGGCTGTGCTCAGAAGGCCTCTCCTCCTGCAGAGGAAGTCGATGAGAATGGGAATTGGGAATCACAAGCAAGAGGCCCCAGCAGAGCTCACAGTGCCGGGATGGCAGGTGCTGCCGTCAGTGGGGTCAGAGGGCCCCATGGAGTGGGGGTGATGGGCTGGGGCTGAGAGTCACGAGGAGTGCGCTGCCCGGCGTTGGGGCAGGGGGGCAGCAGCTGGACTGAGTTCTCTGCTTGATGCAGTGAAAATGCTCTCTCATTTACTCTCCGTCTAGTCATGACTCTTCCACAATCAATGCCAAGTCTAGTCTGAGACCACAATGAACTCCAGTTTGCACAGAGACGTTTCTGGAGGCATTTGGTCATAACTGCAGAAATACTGAAGATGGGCCTTCCCTGGGAGCCTGGTGTCACCCAGACACCAGTCAGCTTGCCGACCCTCTCAGCAGCCCTTCCTGCTTTAGAGCAAGGTCACACAGCATGGCCAAGGTCACACAGTATGTCCAGGGTCACACGGTGTGGCCTAGGCTGCAGAGTTGAAGCTCCCACCCACTCTGCTGAACCTGTCCCTTCATCACTTTGTGTGTCTTGAGTGGGGGCACTCTGAGATCATATCCCACTGGCCAGGCCACAGGCTGGGCCAGAGTGGGCCATGGCCTCCAGAACTCCCAGCAGGGACAGGCTGCTCTGGCCCCCCACCCTCTTCTTCTCACTGGTGGTATCACTCACTTGGGGACTTCTGACTTGCTCACCTGAGCCAGGCCCTGGGGCCTCTGCTCCCAGGGAAGACTGCCACCCTCTCAGAGGACAAGGGAAGGCCCGACTGCCTCTGACCAAGGGCTTTGGTTGACTTTGTCAAAATCTGGCAGACTTCTGGCACTTGAGAATATCATTCACCCTGAGAAAGAATCCTATACTTTTGGCCCCGAATAATCAAAGGAAATTATAGCAAACCTCACTAGGACTGTGGAATATTTCATTTAGACTCTAAACTTTTTGAAAAATGGCTCCTTTTTATTGATAGTGAAATTGGATGTTTCTAACTTTCCCGTAATGATGTCTACTCAACGTCACCACAGGCCAAGCACAATCTTCGAGGCACTGGCATAAAGCTCCCACAGTGGAGCTGCGCACAAGCTCGGCTTTTTCCTGAGGATTGATGAGGGAAAGAGAGATTTTCTCTCAATGGCCGACACCAGGCTGACACACACGTGGAGCGACAGCCCCCGGGGCCATGCAGGCGCAGTCTCATCTTCAGTTCTTACCCCATCCAGAGACAGAAACTCTGCACCACCAGGGAGCCCACTGCATCTGGTGGGGTGATCGGCGCCCAGGCTGGGCGTATTTAGGGCAGTGGTTCCGAGGAGGAGGGGCCTCTCTGCAGGTGGCCCTCCTGCCCTGGGGCATCCCCCCACCCCTCCTGGCACCGCTGCACCTGGGAGGCTGGGGCCAGTGGGTGGTGCAGCCGGGGGTGGGCTCAGGATCAGGCCTCCCCCATCGTCACATCTGTCACGCTGCGAAGCTGCTCTAATGCTATCTCTCCCTCTCCTATCCCTTTTCCTAGTCCCCACCGAAAGGTGCCACCATTCCCTACCGCCCAAAGCCCGCCTCCACCCCTGTCATTTTTGCAGGTGGTCAGGTAAGAGCCGACCCGCTCGCGGCCTCCACTGCCAACCTCAGCCTTTTACTGCAGCCCCCGCCGCTGCCCGTTAGTGCACTCAGGTTTTCTCCCTCCTCACGTGCACGTCTCCCCCCCACCGTACTGGACACAGAGCTCTCCTGGCCCACTGCTAGGCACTGGGGCGGACATCAGGACCATGAGAGTGGCTGGGCAGTGTCTGGCAGAAAGAAAGGGCCAAGGCAGGTGTCCTGTGGAGTCTGGATGCAGAAACGTCTTCTCCCTGAACTGGCACAGGAGGACCCTGTTTCCATGCCTACACCCAGGTCTGCCTGGGTGACGCCTGCCAAGTCTAGTTCTCCAGCGTTTTTAAGAAGCTGAGTTAGAAGAGCCAGGAACATTACAGGTGGCCTTAAGACTGTTAAGAACTAGGGTCCCATTTTCCCCTGAAATACATGTTCCCTTCTTCCCACAAATTAGCTTATCCTGGGAGCACGTGAGAGAAGAGCCATGCCACCAAGGAAGGGAAAGATGCCCAGTGGATGAGAGCCTTCCCAGTTACAGCAATGGCGAAGGGCCCGGCAGTCTGGGAACAACCACTTTACATACCTGTTGTTTTGTCTGGTGCCACTGACCTCCTTTCTCTCCTACAAGGAAGGGGCTTCAAAGGCCAGAGGTTACAAAGAAATTTTTGTCTGAGGCCAGTGGTCCCACTAGTAGGGCCTAGAGAGCCACCTAGAGGGAGCTGTGCCTGTTTCCTCCCAAGTGCCCACTCCTGCCTTCCGGTACCTGCCCAGAGGTATCCGTGGCAGGAGCTCGTTTTGTCCCACTCACCAGGGTCACATAGCTGCGTGGTAGATGGACTTTGCAAATGCCTGGCCAGTGGTGCCTGGAGGAGCTCTGCGTCCAGACGGCAGTGACGTGTCTCTTTGCTCAAGGGAGAGTTAAGACAGACTTCCCAGAGGTGACCCAGGTCACAGGAGAATGGCCGTGAGATTTTACTTTATCATTAAAAAAGAAAGAAAAGAGAGAAATAAAAATTTTCTCCATGTTTTTCTTTGCTATGTAAAGGAATCTTATCAGATCTTGGCATGGATTCACACGTTAGGTGAAGGGCAGAGGTCTGTGTTTCCATGTCTTTAGCAGCGTTTGTGGTGCTTCCCATAGTGAGGGACACAGCGACTCCCATGTGGCATGCGTGGTTCAGTCTCCCAAGGGCCCTGCCCTTTGCCATTAGCTGTCACATCCATACATCATTCTACAGCAGCCCGGGATGTGCGCATGTCCCCATTTGACAGGTCGGAAAGTGAAGCCCAGAGGCAGGGACCTGAGAACCTGCAGCTATGCCCCCTCCTCACCGACCTCTGGGAGCCTGGGGGCCCAGAGACACACAGCGGGCCTTCTTCAGAACTGTTTTCTCTCCCCTCAAAGTTGTGGTCAGCTAGCAGGTTAGTTACCTATGTGGTCTTGACCCTAACCTGTGAACAAACCGTGGTGGTACTGCATGCAAAGTATGGGACTTTTTTCAAAAGGGAGGCACGTTAACACAAATGGGGGGCCTCAGATGCCACATGGGTGAGCCCACCCCCCACTATCCAGGTCACCTTCCTGTCTCTAAAGCAAGGGCACTAGGCTGACCTCTCAGGGCAGCAAGGTCACTGCCATCATAGGCACCTGGCCCAAGGCTATTGCCAGGATATTAGCATCTTAACCTGGCCCCTGTGCCTTTGGGACAGTCTGGTCTGGCCAGTGGTTAGTCTTGGTAATCTATGAGGGGACAAAGTCACATGAGAGTCACCACTGCACTGCAGGTAACCAGGCATGGGAGCCACAGTACAAACTGAAATAAGGGTGTGAATGAGACCTAATGCAGCAAGGGGTCCCCACCAGAATCAGTCCCCACACCACCACATGCAGGACACACTACAAAGCCTAGACTGTAGAGAGATGTGGCCCAAGAATCTCCCCCGACTCACCTCTGTGAAGAGGAACATCACTGTGAGTGCTCTGCCTGTGCTGGTAACACACCCCTGGAGGTCACAGGGGCCTGGTGGGTGTCCTCACTGCCGAGTAGCAGTTCCTACATTTCAAGCAGGTCACAGATGATGAAGGTTTCATCCAGACAAAACCTTTTATCTGTCTGTCTACACTCTACCTCCACCCAGAGAGGATGGTCAGCTGCTCACACAGTTCAAATAGAACTAGAAATCACAACTGCCTAAGTGAATAAAAGATGTCAGAAACGTAAAATCAGGGTAAAGAGTTGTCTTGTCAGGAAGTACATGCAGTTCCACTCAGACAGCCAGAGGCCCGACCTGGCGCAGACCTGCCTGGCTCTCGGGGCAGCATGTGTCCCAGGGTCTCTTACATTTGGTGACACATTGGAGCACGTGCCTCGTGGCAGCTCCACAAAACCTGAAGATGAGGTCTTGATGCAGTTCCTGTGGACCCCATAACAAATTACAGGGCAGTGTGACCCACTTCTTTTTCACTAGGACACTTGCTCTGTCTGGTAAGATTCCTTTACGTTCTCGTGAAATGCCAGCAGGCTGGGGGCCTCACCTCCAGTGATCTCTGCCCAATGGCTGGTTGGCTTTAACTCCTAGTTTGGGTTGTTTATGATGAAAACTCTAAGCAGATTCAAAACCTGCAGTTTGGCAGAAGCTTGGAAACCACCCTCGGTTTGGGGTCCACAGAGATTACATGTGGACTGGCCTGAGGTTTCCCTCTCAGGTGCACGGCGACCCCCGAGTATGGACACGGGTGGATACCACGTGTCCACTTAGGACATGGCATGGGAGCCCCACGTGGTCAGGTGCTGGAAGCCATCTCCTTCCACTCCTGTGCCACCCATGCCTGCAGGCCCACGTGTGACTGGCCCAGGGCTGGTGTGACATGGTCCACATCACTGAGGCCTGATAGGAAGTCTTTGGTCTTTACTCTCCCTTGACTCCGTTTGGTTTGTTTGTTTTTTGGCCATGAGTTTCTGGGAGCATCTTAGCTGATGGACCATTGAGGCGAGTGGGGGTGGGCGCCGTGAGTTTGACAGGCGGTGGGAGAGGCTGCACGGTCCCACCCACTGTGGCTGGTCCAAGTCACTGTCTTGAAGGCAAGTGAAACCATGAAACAAAGTGCGGCCTTGGGGACCCACTCTGGCCTCTCCAGGCTGTGGTTTGAGCGTGCTGCCCCCCAAGTCAGAGCAGCCACCTGGACCTCTGAGGCTGGAAGACAGATTGGTCAATCCTGTGATTGATTTTGGTGCATTTCTTACTTAATCTGGCCTTTGCAAAATTGGTTTTAGGTCACCTTTAAAGGTTTCTTTTTTTTGTTTGGTCTTCTTGGGGTAAATATTTCCTAAAAGTGTTTACTCTGCTGGCTGATTAAATTTTCAAAAGGTTAATAATCAGAGAATCCATAAAAGATGTCAGCTCATTCTTAGATACGTTCTTTTAAGAAACCAAGGGAGTGAGAGTGGCAGCATTCAAAGCTGAGCTGTTGTCCTCCCTCCCCGCTGGCTCGGCCAGTCTCGGCTCCCGGGCTCATGTGTCTGGTTGTAGCTCAGGCCACTGCAGGGCACTGGCGAGGCTTGACACCAGGACTACCCCAGTCTGCACCACCTGGTGCCCTGGGAGGATTCCCCTTTTCTCCTCCGTGACTGGGGACAGGCAGGGACATGCTTGCCCAGGGAAAGCTTTAACCAGAAGGCCTGTGGCCCGTTCACGTGAAAGTCCCAGCCACCAGAAAGCCCTCTTCTACAGGGGAGGGCCGCAGGGGTGACAAGCGCAGCCAGCCTCTTCTCCAGCTGATGGTGTCTCTCTCTTCCTAGGCCTACACGATCCAGGGCCAGTACGCCATCCCCCACCCAGAGGTGAGTTTTCACTCTGTCTCCCTGTCTCCTTCTCTTCTCGTTACCATTCACCTACCTGCATGCTGCTGTTAATTGCCACTAATATTAATATTACACAATAATATTAATACCATTCTCTCAATGTTCCTGACCTGTGTCGTATCCATATGACCTTGAATAACCTTTAACCTCTTAGCACTAATTCTACTCCTGTGGAGGACTTGGCCTGATGTCAAATTGTTCTGATTGTTGCCGCAGTCCGGGGTTTACCTCTGCACATGGGGCCTCCGGTGGTGAGGCAGGACTGCTCTGCCCGGTGCACACCCCAGGGCGGGGATAGAGCAGCGCCGCTGCTCACCTGAGGAGTTAGGTGACATGCTGTCCAGCAGGTCTGAGAATGCTGGAAAGGGTGTTTGAACATCTGGAGAGGCTGCACTCTCCCCTTTCAGAGCCCGAGTTGAAACAGGGTCCGCATCTGTGTGAAAGCCAGCAGACAGGCCGTGGCTTCATTGTGGTGTTCATCAAACACCACACGGGGCGTCGAGGGTTCCTGCTCCATAATCAGGGCCTGCTCTGATATCTCCTAACACCTGGGTCCTGAAGGCTGCACCAGAAGAAATGGGGCGGGGCAAGAAGAGGGAGCAAACCCCAAGTCCATTTTGAGAAGGTTTTCTTCTCTAAACCATTTTGCGTGTTTGCCCAGCTTGGCAGCCTTTCCCTCCTGGGAAAGCATTTCCTGCCAAGCATGCTCTCTGTGAGCTGAGAGGCCACCATTCCAGACAGGGAGGTGAGGCCAGGCTGACACACGATGCTCTGAGTCCTGCAAACCCTTACACTTTTGAATTGGGCAGGGGAAGAGACGGTCATCTGAGTAAGATAGAAGACAGGACCAGGAGGGTTTGTAAGAACTAACTGACACTAGATAAGTATCTGTATTGGGAAAATAGAGATTCAATTCACTATCGTTGCAGGAAAATTTCTCTTGAGTAGAAAAAATACCAAGGGTTTTTCCTTTTTTAAAAAAATCCTCAGTAAGCATCAGCAGATATAGGCATCAAGTGATAGAGAAGCCTGATGAAGAAAGTCCTTCTCCAACCTCGTCACATCCCCAGAGGCCATTTTTCTTGGCTCCTGGTTTTAGACCTGCCGTGATGACTGCCATACACACAGCTACCTGTCCCCACTCGGCAAGCCATCTTCCTCCTGCCTGAGGCACGCTGTCTGGGCTCTCCTTGTTACGTGGAAGCATAGTTGCCACATGCAGGTGGTTGTGGACTGATGCCCAGTTCTGTCCATGGCTCACTCCAGTCCCTCTGCCTACCCCCCACTGCTGTAGTTGCCCACAGCCCCCAGAGGGCCATGGTCACCTCAGCCTCCCCTTGAGGACATGTGTTGAAACCTGGCCTCTGCTAGTGGTTCCCCCACACTTGCTGTTATTGGGGATGCTCTTCATTCTTCTCTGAGTTTATTTTAATCAGATCTTGGAAGTGGTAGGAGTGGTGAAGATGTGAACACAATCAGCCTTCTTGAAAGAACCATCAGCAGCTGTAAAAAAAAATGTTATAATGTCTTATACTCCAAGGAAGTTGACAGCATTGCCCATGAAGCTGAAACAGTGGTGGAGGGCTATAAGACCCCAAGAACAGGCAGGAGCAGGCCCTATAGCTGAGGAAACTTTCTGATTCCAGATGGGTGATGCTAGTTGTCTTAGCTGTCAGCCGACTGTGGCTAAGGGGAGGCAGATGTTAGGACCTAGGAGAAGGGTGGCCCGTCCCCAAGTGCAGGAGTGCTGTGCAGAGTGAGCAAGCACGTGTGCGAGTGTAGGTGGGCCTGAGGTTGGGAGGTACTGCAATGGGCAGCTTCCATGGCTCCTAATGGAATGCCCTGACCCACTGGGTCAGGGGCCTGATTTCTTGGACGGCACAGTCTTCATTTAACATGGGCAGGGCGGTCTCATGCCTTTAGAAATGCATCTGTGTGTGCAAAAGCAGATTCGAAAACCTGGATGTTTGGCTTTTATAAAGCTCAAGAAATGAAAGGAAACACAGTGGTATGGCCCCACAGTGAAGGGCAGTTTACCCCAGAATTGAGAACAGATCTAAGATAGATGCTCAGACCTACCATCTCCGGCACGGCCTCTGAGCTGGCAGAAAAGTGTTTCTGGTCTGAAATTTCCACAGTCTGGGCATGTGTGCCTGTGTGAGGGCGAGAGATTGATTGATTTTTCTATCAATGGTGGTTCTGCTCTTTCCATGTGATTCTCATCTCTCTTAAAAATGGATAGGTTCACAGATTTTTTTCTTCAGATTTGTCTAAATTAACTGTTATGTAATTGCCTCACTGCGTTTTGTAGAGTTTTGAAATACTTGGCTGCTTCTCATGAAATGGCTTTCTGTGCAGGACACTCTGCCCTCTAGAGCAGCAGCAGGTGGAGGTGAGCCCCTGTGATGACTGGGATAGTGGGAGCTGTGGCAGATGCTCTTCTTGCAGGCATGTAAAGTGGAAGACTTCGTCACTTAGAAAATCCCCTCAAAGTGAATGAAATAAAATCACAGTGACAGAAGTGATGATAGCCAGGAAGGCAGGTTTTATCTGCATTTAGTGTTCTGTCAGAAGTTTAAAAGCTTCAATTCTTACAGCCCAAATATAGTAAATACAGGAAATACTGCTTTATTTTATAACTGAATACACAATTTAAATATTTCACCCAGAGTGACTGACACATATACCATAGCCATCTTTTTACAGCTAATATCTTACTTGAATCAGATACAGACTATGAGAAAATATATTTCTTAGAGCTGAGTAATTCTTTATTTAGAACTAAAATATACGTATTTTTCTCAGAACCCAATTTTACTTATTTATTTATTGGTTTTTCTTTTCTCCTAAGCTAGAGCAGGTTTCTGAGTAAAAGTTGAGTTTTTTTTAAAGCTTGGCACCTGAGCTAACATCTGTTGCCAATCTTCTTCTTTTTTTTCTTCTTCTTCTCCCCAAAGCCCCCCAGTATATAGTTGTATATTCTAGTTGTAGGTCCTTCTGGTTGTGCCATGTGGGCCGCCGCCTCAGTGTGGTTTGATGAGCAGTGTTAGGTCCATGCCCAGGATCCGAACTGAGAAAACCCTGGGCTGCCAAAGCAGAGTGCATGAACGTGACCACTCAGCCACAGGGCCAGCCCCCTGAACCCAGTTTTAAAGAATGCTTTCTTTAGAAAAGATTCTTTAGAAAGAATCATCAGGGCCCCCACCCTCGCCAGTTTCCCTCCAGGTTCTTGCCTGCCGCATGGATTGTTCTACCCGAGTCCTTCTGGAAGCTTATCCCACTCTGGCATTCCAGAGAGGCACAGGGACTGCTTTGTGGCAGAGAGGACTTGCAGCTGAAATGGTCATCCTCAGTCATGATCTGAGTTCTCTAGTCAGCCGTGGAAGCTGCCTGCTTGCCTCCACATGTCCTGCCTGAGGGGTCAAGCATAGTTTTGGATGCAAGAAAGGGAGACAGCAGGGACTCGGGTTGAGGGAGCAGATGCGGAGAGCTGCAAAGCCTGGAAAGACACAGAGCAGTGACTGTGTGACTCTGTCTCATCCAGCATTTCTGTCACTTATTATGGTAGTGTGATTACACCACGAAGAGATTTTCTTCTGGAAGAAATTAGTCAACTTCAAGCATACCCTCATGTTTCCATGTCACTCCCTGACTTAATGTCCCCCTCAGTTAAAGGGGATGTTGAAAGCAAGCAAAAACAGAAGATGTTAGAGTTGATGACAAAGGATTTAACATCTCTGCTTTCTTACCTGAGCCTGGCACTAACCATGTGAAGTAGCCCACAGGACCATCATTCCAATTTCTCATACAAGGAGGTGGAAGCTTCCAGAGGTCACTTGCCCAGAGCCCAAGAGCCAATGAAGGATGGAGCTGGCCCACCCCTACATCACTGGATCCCGGCAGAGGACGTCAGGGAGCTGGGAGTTAGGTGGGCACCAGTATCTGCCAGGAAGCTTGTTCTTTAGGGAGCCCATAGTGGGGAGCTGTAGAGACATGTGAGTCATAATAAAAGTAAAAGGAGTCAGCGGAAGGGTGCACACTTAGATCTATATTGACAGTGATTCCTGTTCTCTACTCCCAGGGGCTGTTGGGTTGGACAGTCCACTGAGGACACCTAAAGAGCGATTGTGCACCCCTGAAAACAGATGGTTACGGAGCACTTTCCCTCCCGCTTCCTGTGTCTCCCCCAGAACCCTGTTAGGGAGGTGGGCACTGAGGCTGCTCCTCACATTTCACAGTGAAAACAGTGAAGAGAGTAACCAGCACTGCACTCCATAGCCACCCAGCCCATGGGCTGCACCTCTGGCTGCGTTCCTTCCAAGATCCCATAACTCAAGTGGTGGAGGGGTGCCCATGAGCCCACCTGCTGCCAGAGCAGGGCTGCTACAGTCTTCTTTTCATAAAATAGGAGGTGCAGGTTAGTCTTTGCTGCTGGTTTGTGTTAAATCTTTCCTTTCTCTGTCCCTGGGTTAAGCATCCCTCCCAGCCTGCCCTTTCTCAGAGTCAGAATCTGCATTTCCCCAAGAGCCCTGGGTGACTTGTGTGCACATGAAAGTCTGAGAGACACGGATAGCAAGAACTGAGGATATATGCCATCAGAGCCTCAGGAAGAGACAATAGAATGCAGTGAGGGAAGATTCTAGGAGATAAACTCTGAAAAATTTTCAGATTTAATAAAAGGAACCAGTCCTCATATTCAGGAATCCCACAAATCCCAAATGATACACAAAAGTAAATACATCTTAGACATATCAAAGTAAAGCCACATAACACCAAGACCAAGAGTAAATCTTCAGAGTAGTCAGAAAAAGAATATTACAAAGGAACAAGGGTAAGAAAATGAGTTCACCAGCAGCAGTGGAAGCCAGAGGATGGTTGCGTAATAAGAGAAAATCATTGTCAACCTAAAATTCTATCTCAAGAGGATCTTCCATAGACCTAAATACAAACATTTTCAGAGAAACAGCTGTGACCAACAG